GCGGGAGCGCGCACCCCCACCTGAGGGTCCCCACGTGGGCCGGCAGGGACTGGCACCTTCGGGCTCGCACCGGGTGGCGTCATTAGCGAGATCACCTAGGGGGACACTTAGCTCGGTGCTGCTCCCCATAAGCCTCCGGGAATGCTGGCGGAGTGCACCCAGCAGGGGCGACGGTCTCACTGCCATTCCCCCGGCAGATCTCTATACCGACCAATTAAAAAGGGCGGTAGGCTGACCCACTCCAGTTTACAGATAGGGAGACTGGCGCGGTGAGGCCGCCTCCTGACCCAGGACCGCCCTCTGCGCTCCTTCACTGAGCCTTGGACCTGCAGACCCTCGCATGCCTCTCTTTCTGTCGGTAGCTGTCTCATGTCCCGCACCTTGGGGAGACCTCCAAGAAACCGATCAAAGAATAAACTATCCCTTCAGAAAATCACGCATGCACACACATGATCTCACACACCCCAGACCATCCCTTGGTGTTAAGTCTCCTAGGCTTTGCTAGAGGTTTCCTTTGGAGGGTTTGAGGGAAAAAGGGAGCCATCAGGGTGCTGGAAATATTTAATAGGGCCAAGACTGGAATGATAGGGCTATCTCCTAGAGGCAAAATGTAATCAAGATAAGAGATGCCGCGCATCTCCCCAGCCGCTCGGGGAGGAGAGGGGCCAGGCTTCACCACCACAGCTTTACACGTGCTGAAATGCCCTTGCCCACCTGGCACCCCCAAAGCCTTCAGCCACTACACATCCTTTTTCAGCAAATACATTTCAAGGTTGCATCATCTATTTATGTATTAGAGTTCCACTGGAGGAAAAGAACCAGGGGGAGATGCAAGAAGAGATTGATTACAAGAAATTACACAATTGTCAGGGCCGCTTAGGCAAATCTGAAACTCATAGTGCAGGCCACTTGGAAGGGCTGGCTGGAATTCTTGGGCATCAGCTGAAGCTGAGCTCCATAAGCAAAATTCTTGATTTTTCAGAGCAGCCTCAGTTGTACCCTGAAGGCCTTTTCTCAGCTTAAGTCAGGCCCACCAGATAATCTCCTTTACTGAATCTCAACTGATTACAGATGCTAATCATATCCACAGATACCTTCACAGCAATACTAAGATTAGAGTTTGATTGAATAACTGAGGGTTATTTAGCCTAGCCAAGTTGACACATCAAACTGACCCACCTCTATTAGTTTCCTAGAGCTGCTGTAAGAACGTACCGCAAACTGAATCTCCTACAACAAGCTCAAGGAGGGATGAGTGGGGCCTTGCTCCCTCAAAGGCTCTAGAGAAGCATTGTTCTGGATCCTTCTTTTCACCTCCGGTGTTTCCAGCAATCTTTGATTTGTAGATGTATAGCTTCAATCTCTGCCTCTGTGGCTACATGGCTTTCTCCTAGAATGGGATTCTCTCTCTCTCTTTCTCTCTCTCCTTCTCTCTCTCCTACTCTTTTAAGAAGCATCATTTTGGATTAGGGCCACACTAATGACCTCAATTAGAGTCCACTCTAATGGCTTCATTATAACTTACTTGTATCTGGAGACACCCTATTTGTAAGTAAGGTCATTTACAGTTTCTAGGAAATAGGACATCAATATGTTTTGACAGGGACACAATTAATCCTTTCACTATCACACTGTTATGGCACTCAATACATTGGACTGTTTAATATACATCCTGCCCTTATAACAAAAGAACGTAAAGGACTTGACAGCATGAGCTGTAGTCACTAAATGATCCCAAACTTAGTACAGCATCAGACACACATAAGGTGAGTGCTCAGCTGATGGCGGGTTTGAATCTCTGTTCTGTCTCCTTAGGTGTTTGTTTGGACTCACTGGGAGGAGATTAGTGAGGGCACAGCCTGGTTAACTGCAGAGAGGTTACTCCTGGAAGGACCTCAGTGGTAATCTAACCTAGGAGTTTGCAAAATCTGCTCCCAAGCATCCCCCAGCAACAACACAGGAAAGTGACAAGAGGTGACTGGATGGGGCTCTAGTTCTTCCTGAAACCAGAGGATCAGCACATTAATCTGCCTAATACTTTGAGCTTCCTTATTAGATTACAGTACCCTTTCTGTGGTTGCTGGTGACAATACCAAAAAAAAGTATGTTGTCCAGAGCCACAGCTTGTCAGTGGCAGAACAGGAAATAGAAAGGAGAAAGTTGTGACAGAAATTGCTGGGTGTCTGCCAGCGTCCATTCTCCTCTTCTTCCTTAATGGTTTAGCCTTTAATTTTTTATTTGCTTGTTTCCTCGGGCAGAATAAACACTGGATTTCCCAGCCTCCCTTGCAGCTAGGCATGGCCATATGACTGAGTATGCCTGCCACCAATGGACCACAAGTGGTGGTATCTTATCCCTGACTTTGTTTTCTACACTTTTGGGTATCTGTGGCCAACCACAGCCTAAAAATATTAAATGGAAAATTTCAGGCATAAATAGCCATAAATTTCATCAATTTTGAGTAGCATGATGACACCTCACACTGTCACACTCTGTCTCTCCTGGAACATGAATCATCTCTTCATCCAGACTGTTGACACTGTAATGTCACCTGCCCCTCAGTACCGGTTGTAGTTCTCAGAGCAACTGTTGTGAAATTCTAGTACTTGTATGAAGGTAACTCCTACTTTACTTAAAAAATGGTCCCAAAGCCTAAGAGTTGTGCTGCTGGCAACTCAAATACATCAAAGGGAAGTTATGAAGTACTTCATTTAAGTGAAAAGGTGAAAGTTCTCAAATGAATTACTTGCGAAAAAAATTGGGCCGGGGATATAGCTCAACAGCACAGCTCCTGCCTGGCAAGCACAAGGTCCTGCGTTCGATTCCCAGAACCAAAAAAAAAGAAAAAAAAATCATATGCTGAGGTTGCTAAGATCTGCAATACAGCACAAGAAGAGGGATAGAGAGGCCACATTTATATAATGGATATTATATATTGTTAAAATTATTCTATTATTAATACATTTATAGATTTTATTAATAAATTTAGCTCCATCATAGGTAATGTATAGGAAAAATATATATAATGTTCAATACTATCCAAGGATCTGGGCACCCACTAGAGGTCATTGACTGTATCTTCCTGCTAAATAAAGGACAACTTTAAGGACTAAGCAAAGTCCTTCAAGGAAACCTCTTTACCCTTTCTTCTTCCTGCCAGACAGATAGTAGATGTAAAGGCAGGAGCTCAAGCAACTACCTTGGGTTATGAGACAAAAGTCATTCACAGAAACAGGTGAAAGGAAAAGGCAGAACTGGAGCCCAGGAACGTAACACAGTGGAAGACTGCCTTCTTCCAGGCTTCACTGATGTGACAGAGAAATTAATAGCTACCTCATTTAAGCCACTGTCTCGTGTGTTTTCTGTCCTGTGCAGCCAATCTAATCTTCATTGATACAAAGGACTAATTGCAAGAGAATTCCTTTCAAATCTGGTTTGAGAGTTGAGTTTTTTTAAAGCTGCAAATTCTTTAACCCTCCCTCCTTTGAGTCGAGCAGAGTTCTAACTCCCTCAATCAATAGAATAAGGTAGAAATAAACCTCTGTGACTCGTGAGGCTTGGCATAAAGGCCATAAAGCTTCCATGCTGCTGTAGGGTCCGTGTTCTCCCAGCCTTGATCTGCCAGGTGAGGCATCTGACTGTTCTGGTTCCATCATTCTGGAGAGGCCACAGACTGGGCAACAGTGCCAGCCAAGCCCCATGTTAACCTACCCTGCCAGCCCAGCCATCAGACAGGGACCCGAGGAAGCCATCTGAGACAGGGCTCCACCCTAACTATGCCTGCCACCCTGAGCTATTCAGGTCACCTCAGCTGTGGCCCCAAATGGCACACAACAGAGAAAAAAGATCCCCTTTTCAAACACCTGACCCACAGATGCCTAAGCATAGCAAGATGGTGGGTGTTTTATCCTGTGACATTTGGGGATGGTTGGTTTGCAGCCATAGGTAAGTAGGACGGATGAGTGATTTTAATCAGCATGTTCTCAGGCAGGAAATATTTATCGACCATCTACTATGCACCAAGCGCTGTGCTGGAAGAGAAGCAGAGAGTCAGTCTCTGGGTAAAGGGGGAAGGACAGAGCTGATCTGTACTACGCAGCTGCAGTAGGGGAGTGCAGTGTGAGCTGAACCCAGCCTCAGATTGTACAGCAGAGGCTGAAAGTTTTAGAGGGAAAGGAATGAGTGGGGGGGGCAAACAGGGACTTCCTAGAGACAGGAAGTAAAAAATGACACAAGGTTTGTTTTGGTGAATGCATTAGGCTGGCAGGTGTCCCTTACCAGGCAGCTATCAAGGTTAAGATTCCATCTTCCCAGAGTTGGGGAGACTGAGGCCCTTTGTTTCTGGCATTTGCATTTTAATGAGGGGCATTCAGGTCCTTGAGAAAAACAAACCTGAGCTGAGGGAGATACATGGACATCCCAAAGAAACAGAGAAAGGATTCCCTGCTGTAGGCCCTTTCCCGTAAGTGTGCTAGAAGAGGAAGCCAGACCCGCATCTTCTTTGGCAGCAGGCCCTCTGCCAGATGATGCTTCGTGAGGGGCTCCTGGGGGCACGGCCTTGCATTATTAGAAACTCTGGTGTTTAAGTCTTTTAACTTTAGGACAGGACCAAATGATTTGTGTTGCTAGGTTATAGTTGAGAGCTAGTCAGAAAGAGGC